GAAACGTTTCCTGAATAAAGATTCCCATATGCTGCAAAATTTGTCTCAATCTTCACACTCGTTAATGGCTGACTAAGTTTCCATCTTGCATTCCTTAAGTACCCTGGAAAACAACTCGTCGCGCCCCGGGGACATATTTTGCTTCAGTTTATCTTTTTGATAACCATGTCCCTCGTGACATTAATATTAGTTAATTTTAATACGTCAGGAACTGAAAAAATTCTTAATTTCTGGCATCTCATTTATGTCTTCCTGTGTAAAAACTGACAAAAAATAGTCATTAAATAAGGAACAATTTCTAGTTCGTTATCTGTCAGCTGTCCATTCCCAATTTTCAGAGGTCTTATTTTTTTCCTTCACCTTCGTCCTGTACACTTGAAAGAACCCCTTTGGATTGATCTTTGATTCATTAGCAACTCTAATTTCTTGGTCACTTTTAGCCTTTCTAATCCCCGTTTTTACTTCTCTTCTAATCTGAACATATTGGTCAGTAAGGTTAACTCCTCCTTTCTGATGCCCTATAAATTCCCTTTTTCCCCTATTTGATGCTTTAGCCTCCTGTTAACCCATTTGGGATCGTTACTATTAGACCTAATTTCTCTCTGGGGAATGTATATACTCTGAGCACGGTGTACATTATTAAGAAAAAAAATCATAAGCGCAGATCCCTTCATAATCATAAGTATGATCAACATCAATAAAATCATTAGCTAGTTTAAACCCCAGCGAGATTTGACAGGTGTTCCCTAGTCCACTATAATCGGCAGGAAAGAAATTCAGGGATTTTTACCGTATTATCATTTTTCTTCATTCCCGTTAATTCTAAAAGTGATGGATTTGTGATACTTGCGCCAAGCTCTTCGTGATTTTCCAGATTATTTACGAGTGTTTCCTTATTTGACAAGACTAAGCCGAGCAAATTATTACCCTGGTAGGCTCTGTTGCACACTGTTTCAGAAAACAGTCCTGAACTGTTTCCATAAAGTCACTGGGCTCCCGTTACGGTCAAAGAATTCCAGCTCTTCAGAACCGGGGCGTGTGCCCCAAATGCAGCAGGCATTACCCCTCTGAGCAGCATATATATATATATAATATATAATATATATATATATATAATATATATATATATATTTTTATATATTATATTATATATTTTATATATATATTATATATATAAATATTTTAATATCTTACGTAAGAAAAGCTACGTACCAAAAAAAAAAATTCATTCAACGAGCTGCAGCTAAATGCTGTTTTTTTGCTCAGAGTTTGATTGAATTGCTTTATTTGTGAAACTAATAAAAAACTAATTCTTTTAATGAATCAAAAGAGATAAAAGTTATATCCCATGACGAATAAATATTAGCTAAACAAGTGTTATTAAATAATGTTTAGTAATATTATTTCATTAATACATGTAAGTGGAATATATACAGAGGTATAATTATATATATATATATATATATATATATATATATATATATATATATATATATATATATATATATACAGAGGTATATAATGCACATTATATTCAGTGGTTGGTGGACGAATTTGGGAGGGTATGTAGACGAAGGAAACAGAAAATGAACATAGGAAAGAGCACGGTGATAAAGATAATAAAAAGTTAGGAAATGAAAATTGTATATCACATTTGAGGGAAAGAATGTGGAGGAAGTGAATGCGTTCAGATATTTGGGAGTGGACTTGTCAGCAGATGGGTCTATGAAAAACGAGATAAAACACCGAAATGACGAGACTAAAGGTGAGTGGAGCACTTAGAGGTCTTTAGAGACAAAGAACGTATTCCATGGAAACAAAGAGGGAAGTGTATGAGTGTATTGTGGTACAAACACTCTTATATGGGAGTGAAGCATTGGTGATGAATGTTGTAACAAGAAACCTGGAGGCAGTGGATATGTATCTGAGAGCAATGTGTGGTGTGAATATTATGCAGAGAATACGTAGCTTGAGCTGTAGAAGCTGAGTTACTAAAAGTATTATGCAGAGGGTTTGGGAGGGGTTGTAGAGGTGGTTCCAACATTTAGGATGGAACAAAATAGAATGAATGGAAGATTGGATAGGGGTTATCAATGGAACGGTTGGAGGGAGGGGTAAAGGAGGTTTTGTGAGTGTGGAGCTTGAACTTCCAGCGAGTGTGCTTGAGCGAGCATGTTTTCTAGGAATGGAGGTAAATGGTTCTTATGATTTGAAGTGCTGTTGGAATGTGAGCAAAGGAGCTTTTGTGAAAGTATTTGGGCAAACTGGTTAACCGGACTTGAGTCCAGGAAGTGGAAAGATCAGTACCTGCACTCTGAAGGAGGGGAGGAGATATGCCACAGTTTTGAACTGGCACGACAGTGATAGAGCGAGTGATAATAAGTTTCTGTTTTTTTTGGGTCACCTTGCCTCGGTGGGAAACGGCCGATGTGTTAGAAAATATTTACGCATATAGTGTAGTATATATATGGGCCAGTGATCTGCTCAGCGGCTGCCTCTGGATAGAGGCAATACAAAGATGGTTCTCTATCAGGAGCCAGATACGGATCATCGAAATATTAAGACCCGTGCCAGGACATTGTCCTGGCGAATATTATACGTCCCTACGTGTCTCATGATCATGCTCCATAGTGCCTTACCCCTGTCACTCCTTCAATTACTGTCCTCTTTCCCGATGTTACTCCACCTTCCATGAGTGACGCCTCATACCCCGAAGGAGTCCAGGTCACCACTTGTTGTAAGTAAGGTCTCTTACCCTGAGGGAATCCAGACCACTCTATCTGAGTGAGGTTACAGCAGCCCCGCTGCCACACCCTACAATCCAACACTTTTTTCATACAGTTAGTTTCAATAAATATTTTAGTTCATCATTAAAATCTCCCTTTCCATACAATATCACTTAATTTCTGATGTGAAAATGCACAGCATAAAATAATAGTATTCTTTATTAAACATTGTTTATATAAATTTATCCTTACTTTTGTGGGAATCTATTTTGTATAAGATCCAAATCATTCAAATAAACTTTTATTACATAACGTAGATATTCATAAGTAATCATTTGATCACAAAATCTAACAATTTATTCACTCACAAACATTCACAATATTTTTTTTCTCATAAACACTTGGTTTAAATATCAGTTCACTGACGTCAGATATCAATATCCGTTAAGCTCCACATCCAGAATGATTCTTAATGTTTAGATCCTGAAATATTCCAATCTTGGTGCATAAATGATTTGATATTAACATCAACACCACATTTTCACTACACTCATCATGCATCAAAAACACGACTAGATTTATCACCTTCATGTATTATATTTATTGTTTTTTAAAGCATAATTTGTTTACTTCCTCAAGGATGATTAAAAGTAGCTGTTTTTAATAATAATTGGAGAGAATATCTGCTCTGTTTACATTACATTGGTTATAAAGTGCATCTTCCTTCAAACTGCTTCTTACGAACATTTGCAAGAATGACAACCTCCTCGCACAATAACTGGGGGTGAGTTTCTTCTCATTAAGGATCTCAACTTCTTACAGATGTGTCTAAGTTCCGCCGACAGGTGGGTGGTGCTTAAATTTCCACAGCAGGAGAATAATGTCCCCTTGAACAGGGCAGAGAGGAGGAAGAAGGAGACGAACATTACTGTTCCAACCTGCTTCATATTTCTTATATATTACAGGGACTCAGGTCTCTTATTTACTGGTGTTTTCAAAAGGCAGTTTTACAATTTATTTGATATAATTACATGATATTATTAATCAGCCTCAAATTCATCTTCAGAGGAGCTAGCTCAGTATGAGAGAATAAAATTGTAATCATGATTTTCCATCACTGTCATCGTAATTTTCGTCACAGTAAAGCATCACCTGGATTGTCTTCACCTTTGTTCACGAGATCACATACGTTCACACACAGACACACACACACACACTCACACATACTCGACCCCTGCAACCTCAACTAGGTGAGTACACACACACACACACACACACACATACACACACACACACACACACACACACACACACACACACACACACACACACACACACACACACACACACATATGCATACACACGCATGCACAAGGGATTGCACAGGCATGAGGAATTTCGTGCATGAGGTACATTTGATAGATGCAAGGAGGCAGAGGAGGGGTTCGTACCCAAGGGCAACAGAAACAACGGGAAGACCAGAACGAGCCCCTGGTTCAACCAAAGGAGGCCAAAACTAAGTGCGCAGAAGAATGAAAAAGTATAGCCGAAGACCCAAAAAAAGAATGCACATGAATAAGGAGGGAGGCCCAGTGGCAATGCGAGAATGATATAACATCGAAAGCCAAATCTGAACTAAAGTTTTTGTACAGCCACATCAGATGGAAAACAACGGATACGGTAATAAGACTGGGGAAGGAAGGCAGGAGAGGAATCACAAGAAATGACAAAGGAGTATGTGAAGAGCTCAACACGAGATTCAAAGAAGTTTTTTTTGTTGAGACTGAAAGCACTACAGGTAACCGAGATGGGCTGGTACACCAACAAGTGCTGGACACACTACATACAATCGAGGAGGAGGTGAAGAGACTGCTAAGTGAGCTGGGTACCTCAAAGGCGGTGGGACCGGACAACATCTCTTCGTGGGTCCTGAAAGAGAGGGAGCAGGGGCACTACGTGTGCTGCTAACAATAATATTCAAAACATCTATCGAAACAGGGTTTCAGGGTGGAGAAATCCTTCGTCACAAACCTACTGGTGACAGAAGGAGACAGAAGTAAGGTAGGAGAGAGACGGATTGGTAGATCACATTTTCTTGGACACAGATTCGCAAAAGAAATTAGTGCAAAAGCTAGAGGAGAAGACAGGCATAAGAGGAAAGGCATTGCAGTGGATCAGAGAATATCTAACTGGAAAGAAACAACGAATGATGGTACGTGACGAGGTGTTAGAGTTCTACCAGGGTCAGTCCTAGGGCTGGTATATGTGAATGACATGACGGTAGAGATAGATTCAAATGTGTCCTGCAGACAATGTGAAACTAATGCGGAGAATGTAAGTGAATGAGGATCAGGAGGGACTACAAAGGGATCTGGACCGGCTGCAAGCCTGGTCCAACAACTGGCTCCTGGAGTTTAACACCACCAAATGCAAAGCCATGAAGACTGGGGAACGGCAAAGAAGACCGCAGATAGAGTACAGGCTATGGGCGAAAGACTGCAAACCTCACTCAAGGAAAAGTATCTTGGGGTAAGTATAATACTGAGCACATCTCCTGAGGCACCAGTCAACCAAATATTTGTTGCAGCATGTGGACACCTGACAAAACCTAAGAATAGCGTTTCGACACCTGAGTAAGGAATCATTCAAGACTCTGTACATCGTGTACGTCAGGACCATTTTGGAGTATATAGCACCAGTATGGAACCTACACGTGGCCAAACATATCAAGACACTGCAGAAAGTGTAAAGGTTTGCAACAAGACTAATCCCGGAGCTGAGGGTTATGTCCTATGTGGAGAGGCTAAGGGAACTCAATCTGACAACACTGGAAGACAAGAAGGATGAATGGGGTATACATGAATCCAATATAAAATACTGAGGGGAATTGGCAAGGTGGATAGGGACAGGATGTTTTAGAGATAGGACACAGCAACATGGGGGCAAAATGGAAGTTGAAAACTCAGATGAATCACAGAGATGTTAGGAAGTATTTCTTCAGTTATAGAGTTGCTAAGAAGTGGCACAGTATGGTGAGTGATGTAGTGGAAGCAGGATCTATATATAGCTTTAAGAAGAGGTACGATAAAGATCATGGAACATTGAAAGAGTGGATGTAGTAGCGAGCAGCAAAGAGGCAGGGCCAGGAGCAATGACTCGACCCCCCTGCAACCACATATAGATAAGAAGAAGTAGGTAAGAACACACAAGCACACACACATACTTACTGGAATTCTACGACAAAGTAACAAAAGTAAGACAGGATTGAGAGGGGTTGGTAGACTGCATTTTGTTGGACTGTAAAATGGCTTTCGACACAGTAACACACAAAAGATTAGTGCAAAAACTAGAGGTGCAGGCAGGAATAACAGGAAAAGCACTACAATGGATCAGGAAATACCTAACATGAAGGAAACAATGATTGATCGTATGGGACGAGTGTTAGAGTGGTCCTAGGGCTGAGTGTCCCTGTTCGCAGACGATTGAAAGCTAGGGAAAGGACAAAAATTATGAAGCTAGGGGAAAGGATAGAGAAGACTTCAGACAGAGTGCACCCTAGGGGTCAAAGGCTGTAAAATTCACTCAGGTAAAAGGATCTTGGGGTGAACATCATAGTGAGCACATATCCTGAGGCGAACATCAATCAGATAATCTCTGCAGCATATTGGCTCCTAGCAAGTCTAAGAATGGCATTTCGACATCTGAATAAGGAGTCATTCACGACACTGTACACCGTGTACAACAGACCCATATTGGAGCATGCAGCATGTGACATGCAAAGAGTATGTTACAATTTATTCAGCACATGTTACACACCCATATAGGCTCCCTCCCAGCCAGCAAACTGGGTGCTAAGGGTTTAACAATCAATAGGGTACCCATCATTAAATTAGAACATTGTTTCGTTGGCAATAACAGGCAAGCCCGCCAAAGCTGAAGGAACGCGATTCACTTGTGGTAAGCATTATCAGACTTGTCTAGCTGCTGGTTGATCATGGCACACACTCTCTGACTTCTGCTTTGCCATCTGTCACTGTGGTGTACACTTCATATTCAATCTGTATATAATGTACATAGTGTACATAATTGTATATATCATCTGGTGAACGCAAATATGCATTATAGTCTACTGTTAAGTTTTATTTCTTCCTCATTCCCATTGCAACAAGGTCTCACAAGCCATTCTTTATCTCTGTAATATGGGGACCTGTAAAGTAAAAGGACATATAAACACATATGCAGTATAATGTGATGCTTTATTGACTACGTTTCGCCCACACAGTGGGCTTTTTCAAGTCACAAACAGAACTACCTGGGGTGTATGTATGTATAATGTTCGCCAAGACCATAGTCCTGGCACGGGTCCCAATCTTGCGATGACCCGTCTCTGGCTCCCGATGGAGAAAGGTTTCCACAATGATGCGACGCATGCCGCTCAACGCGCCCTCTGGTCAGTTCTACTGGTACATCTCATAAGCGACACCATATGTAACTATGGACACTAGCGAGGAGGAGGATATGTCATTATCACAGGTAACAGCTTGTCTGGTTCGTTGACCCCATGGTACACTAGTGTGGCCGCAGTCATCTCTGGGTCCTCTTGGGGAGGGAATATCACCGCTAGTTCCCTGCGGATTTGCCCCAAAGTACTTCGCACTCTAGAAGTTAGTGTGTTGGGGGGCCGCTGGACACGAAACTGACTTTTGGGCCCTTCCCCTCAGCCTTTGGCTACCATCATCTTGGCTGGGGGAAAAACCCCCAAAACAAAGCCGATGGTTTGGCGGTACAAACTGCCCCTTGGACCAGCTTTATAAAAATGGAGGGGGTTCTCCCTGAGTCGGGGCTGGGTTTCCATGTTGAGGGGGGTAAACCTAAGCCCTTTCCCCCATAATTTTCCCTTTGGCTCTGGCAGCCAACAGTTTGGTTGTCGTAGGTATTGGGACAGTAACCCCAAACAGGGGGGGTGGATGTTGTTGCTCCCTTGGCTGCTTTCATTGCCGCCTCTTTCCCCCGGTTGCCAGCTTGGGGGGGGATCCGTTAAATGCGTTTCTATTCCCTTCAACCTCTAAGGCGGGCTTTATCCCGGGTTGAGGTGATGAGGTGAACTTTACCTGTGGTTGGGAGGGGAAGGGGCATTGATTGCAGGGGTGGAATAAAACTTTGTAGGGAAAGGTGGGAAAGCCCGATGTCTTAGGGAATGTAAAAATTGCCTGCGGAATCCCCCCAAAGCTCAGCTTGAAGGATCGTGCAGTGGTCGGGGAAAGTCGCCACCCTTGTGTGTAAACCATTGGGTAAAAGTCCACCCCTGTGCTCCTTCCTGTAAAGGTCGACAAAACCATCTGTAAATTTCCCTGAACGGGCCCATCTGCCAGTGCCATGCTTGTTCAGAAATGTTTGTTTGAGGGGTCAGGACGCGAGCCCACTTAGAAAATGGGTGCTGCATGATAAAACCGGCTGGTTTCTGGGCGCCGGGGAGGTGGTGGATGGTACCCAGCAACAAAGGTACAACTTTCCCAAAAGAGCAGCTGAAAACAGGCAGCATTTTCCGGGGCCCAGCAAAACAAAAGAACGAAACCCGGGAAGTAGTCCGTGAAGAGTGTGGGATCTTGTGACTTGGTTTTTTAATATCCGTCCCTTTAAAGGGGGGTTTACCTTGCTCCCTTTGTGCAGAAAAGTGGCCATTTTTTGCGGGCTTTTATGTATCTACTCTTTTCCGCCAAGGAAGGACCGGGGGCCCTCAATTGAAAAAAACGTGTTTTTCCGAGGGGGGGCCCCAAAGCATGTTTTTTATCGGCCTGGTTTTGTCCCCGACCTCCTCCCTTTCCCTGCTCTGGGAAGAAAAGAGCTAAAGCCGGTGCCCCCTTTTCTTGAGCGGGGCGTAAAATTTTTTAAAATTTTAAAAACGAAGTACTTTTTGTTGGCCCCCTGCAGGGTGCCTCGTGGGGCCCTCTCATGGCTTTGAGTTAAAGTAGAGCAGTGCCCTGACAAATTTGGGCCTTTTCTGAAAGGTCCCCCTTTTTTTCAATTAAAATTCCCCTTTAAAGGTAGGAGCCTGTCCATAAAGTTCTAACCTGAATAGGGGTAATCTTTTCACAGGTTTGGGCCCCCTTTGAACTTCATTCCCGGTTTTTCTGGGCCGAATCTTGGGCCCTACCCCCTTTTGCAAGACTGCGAAATTTTAGGTCCAAAGTTTGGGGCCTGTTTTTTTAAATTCCCTTTTTCCCCATTAAATACTAGTGAAAGATCATCAGCTAGTGGGGGCCCCTGGTACCACTATAAAAGGGGAAAGGGCTCAAAAATTTCCCCTCCCTAAGGATTTTAAACGGGGTAGGACTGAGCACACCTTGTGGGCCTTTACCGTTTTTCCGGGGTTTTTAAAAGGAAGAAAAGGGGCCCCTGAAAGCGACACAGGCATGCCTGCCCCTAAGTAGGACCCCTATCCAGGCCAGGGGGCCCTTTTCCTTTGTTTCCCCTTCCAAACTAGTTTTGCCAGAATTCCCTGAGGGGGCGGCTAGCTCAAATCCCTTCCCAAAGGCCCGAGGAAAAAGACGTACTTTTTTTTTTGTTGCTATCACAAATGGGTTAGTAGAGGGGGAAGGGCACTTGCTGTTCCCCTCCTTTGGTGAAGCCAAAAAAAGGTGATAAATTTAAAGAAGGGGGTTTCCCAAGGGGTTTCCAAAAAGAGGAAGGGGCCGGGGTTTTTAAAACAACCTTTCCCTCCCCCCCAGAAAGTTTTTGGCCCCAAAAACCCCCCACCCCTGGGTTCAAAGGCCGGGATTAATGGTTTTTTCATAACTGGGCAATGGGGTCCTTTGGCTTTTTGAAAAATAGTACCCGGAATGTAGCCTTTTCTTCCCGGGGGGCAGGCTTGGAAATTGTCCTGGCCCGGGGCCAAACGGAACCCTTTGGTTTTTTTTTTTCGTCCCCTTTAGGTAGAAAACTCCCTTTTCCATTCTGGCCCAAAAACCGGTTGGCCCAATTTTCTTTGGAGGGTCCTCCAAACCCTTTTTCCGGGGGAATGCCCCCGGGGCCCAAAGTTTTCACCTTGGGGTTTTCCCTTTAAATGGGGAAATTTTTTGGGGGGGGAAGTTTGGCCAAGGGGGTTCCGGGGGGTTGGGGGTTTTTCCCTAACATCGGGGGTAAAACCCCACATTTTGGGGGGCCCCTCCAAAAAAAAGGGGGGGGGGGCCAGCTTTTCTTTAATGGGGGGGTTTTGGGGGGCCCTTGGGGGGGGGGGGGGGGGGGGGGGCTTGGGGGGGGCCTAAACTTTCGGGGGGGGGGCCTTTCCCCACGGGAAAAAAAACCCTTGGGGGGGGGGGTGGGGGGGGCTTCCC